TTCCTTCCTTCCTTCCTTCCTTCCTTCCTTCCTAAATCGATTTACATGGCTGCCCCATCTTGTGAATGCATCTTTAGGTGACTAACAATATGGTAAATAATAAAAAACAATATTAGCAAAGAATAAAAATCCAACAATGGTCACTGAGGATGAACCCAACAATAGACAGAGACCTCTCAGTGGACCATCTAACCTCCCAATCCTCCAGGCCCTGGAGCACATCCAGGTCTTCAATACTTTACAAAAGGCCAGCAGGGTTGGGGCCAATCTTATTTGGGTGGGTTGGTAGATGGTATTCCAGAAGGTAGGTGTTGCGAGAGAAAAGGCATGCTTCGGAGTCCTCATAGAATGACATTTTTTTAATGGAAAGGATCCAGAGCATGCCCCTCTGTTGGACCTAGTGGAATGCTAGAAACAACTGAGGAGAGGCGGTCCCACAAACAACCTGGCCACATGCCATGGAGGGCTTTATAGGTGACAACCAGCATCTTGAATTCCATCCGAAAGCACACTGAGAGCCAGTGCGCCTCATAGAACACAGGTGTATCATGGGCGTACTTAGGTGTCCCTGTAACTGCCCACACCACTGCATTCTGGACCAGCTGCAGCTTCCAGGTGGTCTTCAAGGGCGGCCCAATGTAGAAGGCAGGTTGCAGTAATTTCACATCTTTTTTCATGAAGGATTTTCTATTTTGAAGCAGAACTACAAAATCTGTTTTCATATTTAAAACCTATCTTCATATTTGTGTATTTCTGAAAGAGTTTGTACATGTGTTTATTTTTTTCCCTCAGGCTAAACAGTATTTTTTGCTATTGGCTTCTTGAAGCTAATAGTCTAGACTCAATAGTGTGAATTAAATTTAGCTTACTGTGTCATACAAATGCAATCCCAGTTTTCTTTTACAATGTTTACATGCTGTACCCTGCTGTGATTTAAAAGCAATTGTCCCCTTCACTGATTTCTTCCATCAAAATATCTATTAAATATCTATCCATCAAATCCATGTTGGAGGCCTGTGTGCAAAATAACCCATGAAGGACAGTCTAGGTTGTTTCCTGTTTCACCATAACTTTTATATAAACTGTATTTTACTTTAGCATGATTTGTTTAATGAGTTACAACTGGCTGGGTATTCACACATTGTAAACCATAGTATATGGCTTAACACAAATGACAGTGGCTGTCTTTACACAACACTAAACCAAAAACAAATCATTATTGGTGATCTCAACCTGTGAGGTGAACCAGGATTTTTACCACAGTGTATGTTACATGTAGCTTAGTAGGCTGTGGTAAAGCAACAAGAAGAAATAATTCACATGTTTAAGGTCAGTCAAATATCCATATCTATTTGGCTAGCATAAATATGGTGATAAATAGTAAATATACAATCTGTTTATTAATTTAATTTATCATTACTTTGGATAACATACTGAATTTTAAAAAGTAATTCTGTTACAGGAAAGATTTAATTCAGATACACACACACTTTTAATATACTTTTTATATACTTTTTACATACTTTTTAGACAGAATTCTTAATTGAAATGATTTTCCTCAGACTCTGTTAAATCCAGAGTCCATTGGAGTTGGGCAGCTATAATAAATTCAAAATAAACAAACAAACAAACAAACATGTTATTTAAATTAAATAGCTTTTAAAACAATCTCTAGCAATACTCTGCTATGTTTCATTAATCAATTCAAGTTGCATTCTTACACCCATATTCTAAACCATACTGTAAACCACAGTACCATGGTTTAACTAACCCAGTTTTTTACCTCATACTAGAGATTGCCTCATTAAACTCATTGCAAAGATTATGTTTTCACAGTTCATTAAAGTAAAATGTCATTGCTTTTTATGGTTACGTCATGTGAACACAGACAAAATAATTTAGGAATTGATATGTACAAGACCTCAAAGTAATTGCTTTACTTTTTTCTGCAGAAGGGACTCGGGGAATATGGGGTTTCCCTTTGAGCCGCTATTTAAAAGAAGAGGGATGGTTCTGTGGTCGTAATGCTAGAATGGCTGCCTGTTTGGTATGGATTCCTTTTCTTCTCCTTCTGTTTGACTTGCAAATTTATAGCTCTGGCACAGAACTCAGGATGTGTTGAATAATAGATCATGATGCATTGATTATCACTTTAAAACAAATATTTTTTATTTTTTTAATAAAAAAATAATTTTATAAAATAATCATTTAAATTTGCATGTTTTGTGTCTCTGTAAATTTGAAACAATGGACACCAGTGAAAATATAACCTCAAGTTGGTTGAATTTTAATCCATGTAAGATTAAGTTTAGAGGAGAAATGTTAATGTAAAGGAAGAGAATTAAGGAAAAAATCATAACAATCCAATACTATTGCCAATTTTGCTAGTCTTTACTGGATCTAATAACATAGTACATAGTGATAAGATGGCCTTTTCACTGCAGAACAGAACAGATCTGATAGAATGACTGTGTTTATCCATTACACAGTTACCCATTATTTAGGTATCCATAATTTACTTAATCCTATTTTCTGGGTTTGCATCAGATAGAGAATTATAAACTAATGACACAAACAGGTTTGCTAAGCATGCTAGGCTACATGCAGTTGACTACTATGTTGTTCACTTATTGTGGACACAGCTGAAATTTTTATATGTAATGTTTCTTCATTTCCAATTTACATTGTCATAGCATAGTGAAAATCCATGAAATGCATTCAGATTTCTAAGCAAATTTATTTTGAGTGTCTGTTCTGCTGACACTTAAATCCTCTCCTTACTTAGATTCAAATGCATATGATTCATTAGCATTTGCATGAAAGCTAACTATAAATCAAAATGGGGTAGCAGAATGTTAAGCAAATCAGAGATTAGATTTGCTTTACTGCTTCTGGTTGCAATGCTATCCTAGTCTTAAAACATCTTTCCTGTGAACCAAGTGCTTATTTAATCCTTGTCTGATCCTCTTATATACTTCAGTCTTTGCCCCTTTGACTTGCTCATCCACTGCCTTCGTTTTCATAATCCCTGCAAGTGCATTCAGGCAGCTATTGCTTTCTTTGCACTTAGCTCTTTTTTCTTCAGTAGGCTGATCAGAATGAAGATACATCCCTTTTCTCCTCCCATTGCATTGTTCTGTTCTACATTTAAAAAAAAATGGTGCCTTTTCAGAGAAACCATGTTATCATTTACCTTGTTTTTGCACAACGGAAAATATGATTAATATGACAAGCAATATGGCAGATATATTCCACATTTCTTTATGTGGAATATATGTTCAGTAATGTAAGAAATGGTTCTTTTGGCAGATGATTGAACTATTATCGATTCATGCAATTTTATAGCACCAACTGCCAGTATTAGTATTTGAAGGGGTTTGGAGTATTCCTCAAGCAATTCCTATCTAAAAAGTAAACAAACAATCTTGGAACAGATAATTTATTTATTTTTTAAGCAATTCTAATAATCTGGTTAAAGTTTTTGATTCAAGTTCTGTGTTCTCAGTTTCTACATATCTCAGTGTTTTTAGTGGGTTTTTTTTTTTTTTGAAGTAATTTCCTCCATCTTCTAGAGATTTTTTCTATTTTTTGTTTTCTTTTTTCATTCTTTGCATTTCTAAAATTTAGAGGTTTTCTCAAGCTAGCTGAGATATTTCTATTCTGCCTAGATGGTGCCATGTGAGGCAATATTTACCAGGACTGTGCAAATCATTCAGTGAAGCAAATTAAGCCCCCCTCCCCCTAGATCTATTTTCAAAGCTGTGAAACAGCTATACTGCTCAGAGGCTCAGTGTAGCTGCACTGAGACCCTCCAAAGTTGTCCTAGCATGCATGTACGTGGATAACTGGTGAAGCACATGGCCGGAGGAAATGTATTTAGAGGACACTTCATTTGTGAAATGACCTAATATTTATGTTGATAGAAACTGGATTTTGGAAGGAAAAGAAAAGGCACTTTGGGAACCTGAAGTCCTATTTCAGTTACATATTTTTATAGCTGGGATCAGGAATGGTTTAAAACCTGATCAACAGACTTCTTCTAAAAGTTCCTCAGTAAAAGATAATTATTGTTGGTTGTCATCAGTTAAAGCAGAACTTCCTGACATATCCTATTCTGTTTGGTTGAGATATTCTTAGTACTTCTAACAAGGACATCTCCTTCAGTCCACCCTAGGAATAATAGAAAGGAAGTTGCCTTTGATCTTCTTGTCCTGAAATGCAGAATTTAATAAACCATGTGGTAATTCTGAAACATAAGAGAAGGTGCTCATTTGTGCAGTCTTTCATGGGGGAAATATTTTAATGAGAAATATCATTATTTAACCAACTAAGCGAAAGCTTTACATATATAAAATAATGTATTGAGAAAAAGGAAAATATAGTAAATAAAGAAATAAAGGAGGCAAAAATCATACACACAGAATTTTAAATAACAATCAGTATACAGTATTCTGATTAACTAAGGTAGCTATTTATTACCTCGTAGTACAAGATTTCCCAAATGTTATATAGCTAGGGACTATAGCTTTTCTGTCAACCTTGTTGTTATGTTACATGTGCAGAAAATGGTCAGTATGTTTTTATGCGTGCATAAAACATGTTTTTTAAGGCTTTGGTCCCACTCTGGCCAAAAGTTCCTTTTCTCTGATCAGAGTGCTGGCGGGATTGTGGCTGCTGCACTCTGGTTGGAGGAGAAAGAAAGTAATTATGTGTATATTTTCTAAGGACCAGGGTTTTTTGTTTTTTTGTTTATATATATATATGGACTGATACCAGGCCGTGGACCAAATTTTGGAAACCCTATCCTAGAGTAGCTCTTGAATTTCAGCACGTGTTCATTGCAGAAGATAGTTGAAGAGAGATCATCTGGGTCTCCCGACTGGATATTCATAAGTGTGTCCTGCTTGTTATTTGTTTTTCTCTGTTTTTCTTTTGAACACTATGCTCAGTTTTATAAAATAGAGAAAATAAGTAAAAGCTATTCTTTTATGAAAGACTGACAGTAGCTTTGCCCAATCAAAGAAAATATTCCATCTCTGTGTCTAGCCAACAAATTGTCAGTTGTCTAGTGGCTAAATAACCCTTGCTGGAATTATAAAAAGAAAGTCTAATTTTCACTGGATGTACTATTGTGTACAAATGAGATTACATGGTAGAGGCATTTTTTGGAAACAAATGCTGAATTCCACTTATTTCGCCCTTTCAGCAGACAGTTTAGCAAATTTTTAGGAGCACTGTTCTGCCATATTAAAACGTAGGGTGTTGTTACACATTTCTTAAATCTTTCATTTGTATCCTACCTCCAACTATGAATTGACTGCAGGGAAAGTAGGAAGGAGAAAGTTGACTTTAAAACGGTACAGTGTGGTAGATTTTTTAAACAGTAAAAGCTGTTATGTACATGAATCATAACAATTGATGTGAAGTTTTTAACTGGCAAGATTCAGAAAGTAAAAGTATAGTTTCATGAGATTTGTCAATAAAATAGTATACTTGAATGGCAGTGACATTCATTCAGTGATCAATGTTCATATTTTTATATGTAATTACAATTAGGGGGAAATCAAAATAAGTTTGAAAACAAAAGCTTATTAAAAAAAAAAGCTAGTAAGTGCATATAAGAGTCAAATTGGATGTGAATTTGTTCAGGCAATTAGCAACTATGGAATGTTGCTGTTTTTCAACAGAATGTGTGGATGCCAGTCAAGATCTAGTCAAGCAAGTAGGGAGTCTTAGAACTCTACACATATCACACGTTAGTTGTGGTGGGAAAAAGCTCCCATTCATTATATACTAGTTTGGACCTTTCTTCCAGTGTAAATAGCTGACACAAGGTGACACAATCTGGTTTGGATCAAAAGTTAAGTGCAGAGCATTCAAGCCCCCAGGGTCCTAATCCAATTCACCTGTCAACATTGATTTTTTAAATCAACACATGTGTGAACTAGAAAAAAGATGTTGCTGCTTTTTAAGGGTCACTTTAATAACCCGACTTCTTAAAGAAGTGCCATTTAAGGCAAAGCAAACTTAGTTGCTGTTGTTGCTGCTTGTTTTCACTTTTTTTATTCTTAATGCATTTTTTTTCTTGAGCACTACTCAGAAGCAGATTAAAATGGAGCAGCATCAAAATATTAGTAATAAATAAATAATACATATTTTTCCCTGTATTGCACAAATGGAGTTGCATGAAAATCTTGAGAAATAAATAATACATACATTTTTTTTCTGGGTTGCACAAAACCCTGAAAACAGTGCAGCTGCTTTTATTATTAGCAGAGAAATGTTGTGTTTACAGTTGCACAGGATCTAAGGTAGTTCTTCAGAATCATTTGCAAAGCATGCACAGCCCTAGTTTGTAGCTTTTGTTACTGAAAACCCAAAGAAAGTTCCTAACAAAGTTTCAAGTATGAAATAAAGCATAATCATTGAATGAACTGAATTTAGAGTTTGAAGTAGAATCAGTAAGCTAGAGAGCTGGGGAGATAATATGCTAATGTTAGTATAGAGATTATGGGGTTGATGTGTTATTTTATTAAGTTTCTACATTAATGTGGAGAAATTGTTGTATTTTGTTGTTTTGCAGAAGTAAATTGGTATCCTATTTCCAATGTACTAATTTTTATTTTATTATTTGCATACATAATAATATATTATCATGTTAAGGTCATATGTTTCAGCTGTATGTACTTTACTGAACATGAAATAGGAAAACTACCAGAGGCTAAAATTAATTATTCACTAAATTTGGAAAAAATACTATAAAATACATAGCTCAGTATCATCTTGGCTGTTTGCAGAAGAGTGTGTTGAGTTTGTATGTTTATATATTACACAAACACATGTCATTATAATTACACTTTTAAATAACATGAAGTGATTACACTTTTCAGGCAGCAGCTAAATTTTTATCACATAATCTGTCAAAAAATATTTTTCCTTCTGCTTATTAAAGTTTAGGTTGAAGAATAAACACTCTTCATTTCTTTTAAAGGCTCTGGAACGAGTTGCAGTTGGTCAGGTGGTGAGTAATGTGTGTTTACCCCTTCTAGTGACCGTTATTTTCTATCTTTGAATACTTTGAATACTTTGAATACATGACCTTATGTTGAACTTTGCCAACTCTTTGACTCCAGCAAATTACAAACAGTAAAGCTTGAACTGGAGTCAGATTGATATTCTGCATCATCACCATGACACTTTCTGGTCTTCATGATGATAAAATATAATTTATTCAGTTAATTAAGAGTGACTGAAATAGAAACATAGAGGTAGTCCTCAATTAATGATGGTAATTGGGACCGAAATTTCAATCGCTAAGCGATGTTATAAAGTGCGACATCACCTGACTTCACTGCTTAGTGACAGAAATTCCAGCACTTCTGGTTGCCATTGTTAAGCGAGTCACCATGGGTCATTAAGAAAGGACATCACGTGGTTACCATTTGCGACCTCCTGCTGGCTTTCCCATTGACTTTGCTTGTAAGAGTGGGCAAAGAAGGTCACAAATGGTGATCACATGACTGCAATGTAAGTACAATGACCAGTCGTAAGTATCACTCATTCAGCATTGTGGTAAGTTTGAACGGTCACTAAAGTGAGGACCACCTGTATAGTAAATGAAATATAAATATAAATATAAATAGTCTTGTGAGTCTTCTGTCACCTTGCTTCATTGTAGCCATGTTTAAACCAACCCTGATTTACTGGTTGAGGATGGTATAGTATTATAACTTGGCTATTACTGCTTTGAACCTTAAAAAAAATATTTTCCAACAGTAAAGGGATTATAATACAAATACATTATATTGATCTTTTAAAAATTCATATTTTTATAATTCAAAAAGAATATATGACTTACCTGCCAGCAGTTCTCCATTCATTTTCTCTGTTCAAGAGGTCTTTGAAACTGGACGTGCATCTGGTGACATTGCATTGGAATGTCCTATTTTGTGGCAATCTTGTGTCTATTGTTCACTGTTCAGGCTAGGCATTCTTTCTAAATAAATCATCCTGAGAAGATAAGAGAGTTTCATTTGCTGTGTTGAATAATAGTGCATATCCTTGTTAAGAAAAGAAGCCAAGACTTTCATACTTCAAATGGAATATAGGCATTCAGTTTTCCATGAGATACAGTATATGCGTAACTCAGCTTCATTGCTGAAGTGCAAACGATTATGGAATAAGTATTCAGTCTCACTTATTTTGCCAAGTTCTTCCACATTCTTGTTGAGATAGGTACATAGCTGTATGGAGAAAGCAAATATAAGAGTAGCTATATTCTTTCTAGAGATTTAATAGCCATCTCTTCAGTTGCAACTACTTTAAAATTTTCCATATCCACTTTGTACCTGCACAGTCTTTCTCCATGTGACTCTGTAAGCATGCAGCTGGGAGAGGATAAGGGAACTATCATGCAGACTAACTTTTTATGTTCACAAGATACTGGATACCTATTGCTGTGAATTAGCCAGGGTAAATTTTCTCTGTAATTGGGCACCTCACAAAGAGAGTGAATTTTTTTCATTTGGGCAATTTCATATTTTACCAGTAACATAGTCAAAGTTCATAAATTGTTTCTTTAAATGAATATGTCTGTCCCCTGCCAACTGTTATTGGGTAGATGCCTATATTTCCTTATAATGTGGTGCTGCTCTTTTCATAAGAATGGTTACCAAACATTTGTTCTAGACTGGGATAGAATTAGTTTAAAGCTAGACTGTTCATCTACAATTCGTTTTCCAACGTTTAATTAGAAACACACTGGTTAGATTGAACTGGCTTCCCAATCTTGGCCAAACAACCCAATAAATGACTTTTCCTAAATATTATTGTTTCACAGCTGAAGGTAACATTTTGGAAGAATTTATTTTGATCTATTGCAAATGCTAGATGTTGGTAGGACTCTAAAAATTATTTCTTTTTAAATCACCAGCTAAATTTCTTTTATGGAGGAGTTAAATAATTGCTACGCCATTTATCATCCATTTTGATATATGTACATAAGCTGTTTGAGTGTTCAGCTCACCAAGTTTATAAGCCATCGTGTTCCTATTGCAAACCTATTGATCTTGGTGGAATTCATGCAGGATGAATTTAACCCTGCATTTTAGAGCCTCAAAAATGATCTTTAGTAATATAAACACCCTGTTCATTCAGGATGTTCTTCAACGCACTGCATTGTTTTTAGAAACATCGTACTTTTTGTACCAGGGAGAGAAGATGAAGTTGTTAAGGGGGAAAAAAAAGGCACTTATTTACAAAGTGATTTCCCTCTGACTTTTGAGAGATTAAATGGGTTTATTTCTGCAGCCCAACCTACATACCTTTTAGCATAATTTACTCTATGTGTCTTTGTCATTCTTCTAGCTTTCTTTCCAATTCTGTGCAATCTTTTCTGCTATTTGTGCTTATTTTCCCCCTCAGCAGCAATATATTTACACAGCATTATTTTAACTTGGTAATAGGAAACTTACTAGTAACACTAGATGAAATAATTCAATAAATCAATAATTGGTTGAAGAAAGCCAATAACTGTTACTATTCTGGTTGTGGTGTATGGTTCCAACCTAACTTCTTGTTGTTCTTCAATTTGTTATAGCTGCCCACAGAATCTTTGTTTTATCGAGCTGTCCTGCAGGTTATTGTAGAAGAATGTTACGGCATCAAGAGAAGGTAGTATGTTGCAATTTTATACATTGTTAAAAAAACATAAGGTTTGCTTCTTGTTGGTGCTGAAACCTGAGAAGAATGCATTTATTGAAAGAAAAGCAATCTTTTGGGGTTTTTTTGTCTATTTGAAATAATATCTGTAAATTTGACTTGGGCTCTATCAGCAAGCTAACCCTTTGAATTCTTCTTTAATTAAGTTGAAGAAACAGATAATTTACATGGTATATTTTCTGTACCAAGCTTGGCAAATTCAGCTTTTCATTCTTGAAATAGTGTATGTAATAATCCTTGAAAAGTAGATAAAATTAAATAAAAGAATGAATAAGGATGCATACCATGAGCCATTATTAATAATTTGCACAGCAGTTGAACTGTAATAAACTCTGTTCATTATGTCAGTTGTAAGATAGGTCATTATCATTTAAGACTGAGAATTGGGTTTAAGAATACAGGGAGTCCTTGCTTACCAACCAATTACTGTTTAAAATTACGACAGTGCTGAAAAAATAATTTGATGGCCCATTTATGGCCATTTATGACCTTTACAGCATCCTTCAATCATGTGATTGCCATTACAGTTGCCTGACCTGTTTTTTTGTTTGTTTGTTTTTTTCCTCCCCTGCAGACAGAGAGATTTGAGAGGGATTTCAAGAGAGTAAGCTGTTTGCTCTTCTACACATCAAAAGCAGTGTGATCGTACCAGCAGCCTAGGGCTGGGAGCTGCAGGTGCACTATCCAAACAGCTTACAGTGCTCTCTTGAAATCTCTTTCTCTCCAATCTCTCTGCACTGCAACGGGGGTGGGAAGAAAAAAAGGAAGCAGTTTCTGTAGGCAATCTCTCCTTTGCCTGACCCTCGCCCCACAAAGCAGAACGATTAGAGAAGAAGAGATTTCAAAAGAGTAAGCTGTTTGTTCTTCTACACATCGAGAGCAATGCGATTGCACCAGCAGCGGAAAAGAAGCAGGCAAAGGAGAGATTGCCTATAGAAATTGCTTTCTCCCCGCCCCCCACCGCCATTTCAGAGTGGAGAGATTGGAAAGAGATTTCAAGAGAGTAAATTGTTTGCATAGCGTACCTGTAGCTTCCAGCCCCAGGCTGTGGCACAATTGCATTGCTTTTGATGTGTACAAGACAATAAACATGCACTTGAGCATTCCAAAAGGCAGGTGAGTAGTTAGGAGGCAAACAAAAGCCGAAGGTATGAAACTGCGTAGTTTTGTCTCTTTCCCGCTAGAAAGCACAGTTGTGGTCATGTGATTTCCCACTTAGCAACTGCTTCACTTAGCAACAGAGTTGCCAGTCCCAATTAGGGTTGTTAAGCGAGGACTTCCTTTATATGATTTTCCTGAGAATAGTCATGGGAAAAGTAATTTCAAGCATGTCCTCCTAACTGAAGCACTTTTTACTTGCATTTACTGTTTTGGATTACAGGCATACAGTACACAACCACAAATAATTTTATTTGCATATTATTTATATGATGTAACATGTGAGTTAAATAATATAACCCCATCATCTTTTTTTTAAAAAAAGGCAAAAATCTAAACATTCCACTAAACATAAATGCATTTTATTTTTGTTTCCATGTAGTAGTTATTTATGGGGTATCTGTACATAATAAATGGAAATAGTCTTTAATAGTTAGCTAATATTTTTAAGAACATATTTTCAAAAGGATTTAGACAAATTTGGGTTCAGGCTTCTAAGTTTATTTATTAGTTATTATTGTCAGCTTTCTGTTTAGAAGTCCCTAATAACATTTTTGTTTTCCATATACTGTATGTCACATTTATTAATTTTTTCCAATTCATAATTTGTAAAGACTGTTTTTCACCCCAGATATGTTTGCCTTGTTATTTGACTTCCTTCATTATTAAAACTGGAGAATGTAACTGTTGAAATTGTTGCTAGTTGAAAATCCAGTCAGAGTTAAGGCAACTCTTAAAGCAGCAGTACCTTTTTCTCAGGCTCTTGTGGAAATCTGAAAAAAGTTGGGCTGCTTTAATGAATGGCAGAAAGCTGCTATTTTCTTAATAATTTTTGAACCGTACACAGTCCTAATATATATGTATGTGTGTATGCTTATATGTGAATATAGTATAATATTTTATTTATTTATTTTATTCAATTTGTACAGCTACCCATCTCAAACCAGTGACTCTGGGCGGTGAACAATCATAAAAACAATTAAAACAGTTAAAGTATGATACAAAAAAGAAATTAAATACAGCCTTCTGGTCCAGGAATGGGCACAACTGGTGCACAACCCAAAGGTTTGCAAAGGCCCTCTTAGCCACAGCTACCGCCTGCTCTTCCAGCAGGAGCTTTGAATCCAAGAGGACCCCCAAATTGTGCACTGGGTTGGTCTGAGGCAGTGCCATCCCATCCAGGACCAGAGGTGGAAAAACCTTAGTACTGGAAGGCCCAAGCACCCAAATCCACTCAGTCTTGCTTGGGTTGAGCCAAAGCCCATTGCACCTCATCCAGGCTCCTACAGTTTCCAGGCACTGGGACAGGACATCCACAGCATCACGGCATAATATGATATATAAATTTTTAGTTTTGATTAAGTGCCAGTTATAACATTGAGGGAAAAAAACTTCCTTTCTTTATCAATGGAAAGAAGTAGTCCCCTGTGCTAAGCACTGGGTTACTACAGACCAAAACCAGATCTCTAAAGCTCTAATTGTGCAAGTGTAGAATTTCACCATCATCTCTAAACCTTTTCTTCACTTTCCTTCATCAAATTGAGTTTGCAGTAGTGTTAATATATGCCTCCTAACATCCTTTAGCCAGCATTTTTATTTATTTATATTTCAAAATTGTCACAAAACTGTCAGCATCTTAGACCAAGCTAAATCCAAAAATGTGAGGGAATTCAGACAAGGCAGCCCTCAACAGGCACATAGAGATAAAAACATCTACACACTATTCAAAAGAGACAATAAAAAGGAAAACAAAAGACCAGACCATCTCCTCACCACCAATCATCACCCAGATAAGCAGAGACTAACACCAAGATTATTACCAGACATATAATCAGCAGTAAACAATACCCTAATCAAGGAACTACCAGAGGGGGGAAAAATAAATAAAACAAAACAAAACCCCCACCCCCACCAACACTGGCAGGATATGCCACTGTATATAAACAGAGAGCAAACCCCATCCCATTTTAGCACTGAAGATGTTACCT